CCGTCATAGATATTCCTGTGAGAGAAATAGAGACCAAGAGAGATGACAGATCACAGACACACGCGCCACCAGGTTGTTCAGCACAGTGACTGTCACTTTCCTGTTTTTCCTACTTACTTTTCCTGTCATGCAGGTTAAAACTGCCCATTCTGTTAGAGGGCTTCTCATGAACCACAAAATGTGAAGTTCATGCATTAAAAACAGGGAGATATGAAGTAACGACTGTGGCTGTGTGTATTGTGTGTCTTTGGTGCGAGACTCCCTAGCTACGGCTCATCCCTAGTAGCCTCTAGACACACTGCTATTTGAACATGGCAAGCTTTAGGGACAAAACGAACAATTTAGGGACATTTTAGTCCTTACTGACTCTCCAGCGAACACTCACAATTGCTCCGCTATCATAACGATAACCGAGAACCAAAATTTACAGGGCTGGAATTGGAACTCTATCATCATAGAAGCACTTTGGTTCCAAAGGTTTTCCTTAAGAACCCTTTTATCATTGACACTATAGAGAATATTTTATGGGATATTTTCATATTATATTCAGGTGATAACATACAGTTTTAGAGGAACAACTGATAAAACTACAATATAACCAAACATCGAACACTCCTAACTACAGGATTTGTCTGTATGAAATGAGACGTTTGGATTAATGGTGTCACACCACTCGCTCTGTATGCTGATGTCTCATTTAACAAAATCTACATTCAATTGATGCAAAACAGAAAAATTGCTTATTTAGAATATGTTCAGCCCTTTCAACAATTCAGGAGACATTAGTTCAATATGAGCTAGGACCTATTAGGTTTACGACAACCTCTGGGCAGATTCATTACTGTATGACCTAAGTCAAACCGTTGTTGTGATATTAGCAGGTTAGCTCAGAAATGGTTAACAGTAAAAAAAACACAAACTCCACAAAAACTCTCAATCCCCAAACCCAAACCAGTAAATACATCTCACTTGCATCCAATCGTTTATTTAACATAATTGCCAATTGCATTGTTGCTTATAAAATATCAAAATAGAAACAGCAACTCAGTTTCTTGGTAAAAGGAGTTAGCTTAAAAATCATGATCAACTTATCTTTACCTAAAAAACTATATAAATTTCTGGAACGTGAAAATGGAGGCGCTTCAGACTTTAAAATGGGCTTATTATTAATTACTATTTTAGCTTAATCTTAGATAGCATACAGATTAGAAAAGAGAACAAAAAAAAAACTAAAAAAATACCCAAAGTTAAAAAAATCAGGGGGGAAGGAGCGGAACGCGTGCGGAAGGTGAAGCGCTTCACTTAGCAGAACCTCTTAAAGATTAACTCCCAGACTCCCATCTCCATCGTGCGAACCAGTTTCCAGTTTTTGGATTCGAGAGGCAGACACCCCCATACACATTTAAGGTAGACTTAAGAAACGTAGCGCCTTAAAGACCACATATCGACTGAGATATCATACATATTCCATCCTCTAGCAAATCAAATTCAATGATCCCATTCCTATGATATCACTAACCCTTACCATAACTAATCATTCACTAACCCCAGAAGTTCTTGTGCTTTTCTGATTCTCGAAGAGTTCTCATGGAATAACCTAGGTGGCACCATGATGACAAAGTCCTAGGCAATTGAAACTAACTCAATATCAGATATATTGTTTATTATTATTTATTTAATTAATATTATATAATAATAAAAAGTTCATACTTAAATAATAATCATTACTCAGTCCATTGTCCCCCCAAAACTTCCGTTGTTCGTATATCGTGTATCAATACTTCACTAAATAGCTATATAATCATCAGTCACTAATATTAGTGTAGTTTTGCTACTGATGTTGACTGGCCCAATAGTCTAGTTACATGTCATGCTGATATGTATGTCCATGTCTCCTATTCTCTACTCTCAAAATCATCAAAAATCTCATTTACTTCCTCATATCTCTCTCAACCACCCAAACTTAAAGCGAATGCGAAACGAAAACACTCAACTTTATGCCACCCGTCACCAAGTGCAATTGCTTTCAATAAAAACACATTCTTCCACGTACAGATAATTGTCTTCTGTAACAATTGTTCGTTTGATCACTACTCGCACAACACGATGCGACCCCGAAATCGGAGACCCTCTCACACACACCCGTGTAGCAAAAACACCAAACACCAATCAACCCAAACCACAACCAAACCAAATCAAACCAAAAATACTCACCTGCAAATGACTGAGGAGACAACTTGGAAACCTAACAACCAAACCCACCCCACACTCAATCAACACAACAAAAAAACAGCCAACAACAAACAAAACACAACACACAAAAACCCACTAGGGCTGATAAACATTCGCGAGACCAGGCAACAGGCCACAACTCCCGCACTATTATCAGAAACACACCCGAGGACGGGATTTTTGTTACTTGGACTTCTGTGCTGTTCATGGATTGGTCTTATAACGAAACCATTGTTCGTACATAGGGATGGTCAGGTATGTGGTACAAAAGCACGCTTAGGCCAAAGGTTTTATGATTGATTTGTGATCGTTATTCATCAGACCTGAGGCCGATGTATTGGGACACTCGGGTAACGAGAGAGCTGTCAACTGATCACCATCTGGTGGTGAGTTGGGTTAGGTGGCGGGGGAAGCCACTGGACAGACCTGGTAAACCCAAACGTGTAGTACGGGTGAACTGGGAACGTCTGGAGGAGGCCCCTGTCCGAGAGACCTTCAACTCCCACCAGGGAAGACTGAAGAAGGAGGCCTTCCGGGATATGTTACTTGCTACCCCTGCAACCCGATCTCGGATAAGCGGATGAAGATGAGAGAGTAAAATACTGTTTTAATTGTATTTTTTTTACGATTGCATATTAATTGTGATTTGTGATGCCTGTAGTTGTTCTTTACATAGTACTTATTATATAAATATATTCAAAATGCACCCCCTAATATATTGATATAAAAATTATAACTAGCAAATGTATTCATAGGCATAACTATACTTTGTTCCTGTCAGTTGTTGATAGGACACCTATTGTAACACTGTACCAGTATAATTACACTTGAGTTCAACCTGGACATGCATATACATATATCAGTTTGGGCTTGAACTGTATTGTGAAAATGTATACGAGTTTTGCAAAATAAGCTAATAAGTAATTGCATGGAGTTGAAAGGTTTTAGTTCAGATTTGGTCACCCCAAATGTTGATTCTGTTCACGGCCTTGTGATAACTTCAGATAAACAGTGCATTTGGGTCCAGGGAAAGAATGTATTTTGTGTGTGAGAGGGCCAGAATGAATTATAGGACCTGGCTTCCTCCAGGCAGCTGAGCACAGTTATGATATCATAAAGTGATTATAGCTAATGCAAATAATATGAAAGGCAATAATCTGCTCTGCTAATATAGCAGTATAATCCCATTCAGACTGACACAACACAACCATTTGACAGACACATAACCTTGTTTGGATGAGACAAAGTTTAGGGAAGTAGATGTGCGCTGCTCTTCATCTGAGATAAAGTACAGAAACAGTTTGAGAACACTTCTGATCATGCATAAATCTCCCTACTGTGTGGCTTATTGTCTACACAAATCTTAACTTCATCACCTCCGATAAAGTGCAGCTCACAGCCGCTTCCCTCAGATGTAAAAAAATCAGTTTCCTCTAGCTTTTCTTAGAGCTCCTGAACAGAAGGAACCAAACAAAGCCAAAGAAGACTAATTTCATTGAAAGAGTCTCATTCCCAGGTCGTCAAATACACTTTGGATTGGTGGCTTGAAGAATTTTATTTGTATAGCGCCAATTCACAACAGAAGTTATCCTAGGACACTTTTCAAATAGAGCAGGTCTAGACCAAACTCCTTATAACATTATTTACAGAGACCCAACAGTACCCCACCATGAGCAAGCCTACTTGGCAACGGGGGCCTCTTTAAGAGGCAGAAACCTCGGACAGACCCTTCGGCTAGGTGGGTGGTCGTCTGCCTCGTATTTATAGACAACTGCAAATATGAGTGGCCAACTAGGAAGAGATGATAATTATTTTAGTAGCATAATAACATTAAATAACAGTCATTACTCTTGCTAATTGATTGCTACTTCAATACGAAGATAAACCCCTTTGCTAAAAAATGACTTGACTGATATCACTCACCAATATAAACAGGCGCATAGTTGGACTTGACGTTCTCATCCAGGTACGTGACCCCTAACGTGTAAAGAGGTGTAGCACCCACACCATGCAGAAACTGACCCAGCATGAACACAAAACGATAGCTGGATAATCCTCCGCCCTCCTTGTCCTGGCACGGACTAGTACGGTTGGCAGAGCACATTCCTGTTTTGCTCGGGCATGGTAACCTGGTAACTGGGTGTGGTGAAGTGAGGCAAGGCAAACACAAGAGAGCCGAGTGCCATGATCAGCACCCCCCATCCCAGCCAGCGAGGCTTGTGTCCAGTCCCACCGAAGTAGCTGACGAAGGCCAGGCAGACACAGGCAGCGATGTCATAAGAGCTGGCGATGAGTCCGGCCTGGTAGCTGCGCAGGTCAAACCGCCTCTCGATGGAGGTGACCACTGTGTTAATGAAGCCGTTGATTATCATCCCCTGGAGGAAAGAGGCCACACAAAGGAAGAACAGCACCCAACGAGGGGTGTTGAAAACTTGGATAGCTTTGGGTGTCAGAGCCCCCCAGCCGCACAGCTGATCTGAGTCAGTGGAGATCAGCTTTAACCCCATGGGAGTCTCTGCATGGGGTCTTGTGTCCAGCCCGTATCGCTGCCCTGGGAGCGAGGAAGCTCCAGTGAAAATATGGGGCCGAATGGGGCCATCAGTTCCGGGGCTTCCAGGACTTCTGGGCCCTGAGCCTATCGGGCTACCTATCTGGGATTCTGGGGGGCTCGGAGTATCCAGACAGGGACCCCCGCGTAGAGGGCAGTCCTGCAGGTCTAGGAGCTCCTGCTTGGAGCTGAAGGAAGCATCGGCATTAAGCAAGACTGGCATCTCCCCTCTGAGGGGTACTGTAAGGGTCTTTGAACTGTGGCGACAACCACAACGTAGAAAAAGGAAATGTGAATTGGCTGAGGCTCAACAGGAATTCACTGTGGTTAAGGCTCCGTTAGGATTGTCTCTGAAATGATCTATTCCTGGCTTATGCTGAATGTTTGTTAAGGCTCTTCAGGTGCTCCGGGTTACCAGTCTGTACAAGGGTTTACAGGTTCGAGAGGGTGCTTCATACCGATGCTCAGTAACCGCATCCTAAAAAAAGAAAAGAAAGAGAGAAAAAAATAAATGAGCATTTTAATAAGGCACTAAAGCTTTTAATGGCTGCATACATGGGTGATGCATAAAACTGAATGGATGACTCAGTGAGAAAATACATCAAGTAAAATAAAAGTGCATTGTTTTCCACATCTTACCAAATCTTTTGTCACTGAACTTAAGCCTGAGTCTAAAATATGGCCATAAC